TAGTTGTGTCTGTTTCACCCGATGCATGGCCAGGCAAATAAGTGGCCAAAGGCCCAGGCAGTGAAAAACGTTAGACCAGAGCTAACAAAGAGGGCAGGTAAAAGCCAAGAAGTAGTTTAGGAATAAAAATCCTAGGACATTCAAGTTCAAAGGTACCTTGAAGGTCCACCTGGGACGAAGCCCTGCTGGAAGGGGGTGCTTTCTGCCAGTGGGTGTCCCGCCTGTCCTAGGGCAACGATTTTCAGGGAACACCTAATTCATTACTAAAATTGTGAGACACATGGAAAAATAAATTATATGTTTTGCTGATCTTATAAAAAAAAACAAAGGTATAATTTTGCTTCATTTATACTAGATGGCTATTGTTGTGCGGGCTGTTGTCATTTTTTTATCTGACAATCTAAGGGAAAAGAGGCCACTGCCCCCGACTAAGACAGGTATTGTGTGTTTGCTGCTCTAGGGCAGTGGTCGGCAAACTGTGGCTTGTGAGCCACATGCTGCTCTTTGGCCCCTTGAGTGTGGCTCTTCCACAGAATACCACCTGTGGACGCGTGCTTACAGTGCGATTGTAACTTCGTAGCCCATGCGCAGAAGTCGGTTTTCGGCCTGCGTGAGTCTATTCTGAAAAGGTGGCATAGAACACTCAAAAGGCCAAAGAGCCGCATGTGGCTCACGAGTCGTGGTTTGCCAACCACTGCTCTAGGGCAACACCCTCAATCTCATGAGACAGGTATTTGACAGCTATCTAATTTCTGGAAAGTTCTTCTGCATCCTGACCTGAAATCTGCCTTCCTGACACCCATCCCTTAGGCCCCGTTCTGCCCTCGGTGTGAAACCACTTGAGATTATTATGCTACTGCTCATCTTTGGACTGTTATAGCCTAAATGGCAACTTTATCTTCCCTTTCTTAAACACTTTCATGAAGGATGAGGTCTGTTAGCCTATTCATGTATATAATAAAGTTCATCTGAATCCTTGTTTAAAAACTTAGACCTGGCACAAAATGCTTTGTTTTATGTAACGGCAGACTCTCTGGCTGCAGTGGAATACAGCTCTTAAGTGGCCTCCATTTAACCCACTTGTTGGATTAGCCCATGTTCTCTGGTGCCCTGGGAAACATCCTGGTGAATGCTCACAGAGGACAGAATGCTCACAGCCAGGCAACTGTTCTTGGGCAGGTCCTCATACCTTCTGATTTAAAAAAAAAAAAAAAAATTTCATTGATTTTTTACAGAGAGGAAGAGAGAGGGATAGAGAGCTAGAAACATCGATGAGAGAGAACCATCGATCAGCTGCCTCCTGCACACCCCGTCGGGGATGTGCCTGCAACTAAGGTACATGCCCCCGACCGGAATCGAACCTGGGACCCTTCAGTCCGCAGGCCGACGCTCTATCCACTGAGCCAAACCGGTTTCGGCATACCTTCTGATCTTACACACTGACTAGGATGTCGACCAAGTCTCAGCTACATTTGTCTCAAACATTCTGTGCCAGTGTGTTGATTACTGTAGTTTCATAATCAAATAGTATATAAACCAATAAAATACAAATGTGAGTAGAGGAGTTTCCTAGAACACATTCAAGTTTTAGAAAGACTACAGGTTTGTTCAAAGAATGCTATCAAATGGATATGGAAAAAGCAACTGCAAAAGAAATTGAGAAAAACCGCAACAATCTAGAGGAATGTTCCACTCATTTACTTCTGCAATGGCCTTTTCATTCTCACTCCCTTTAATGTTGGCAGTGGAGATAATGTATCACAGGTATGGCTCATACAAGACAAGCCAGGCAGAACTCTTTTAACGGTGAAGTTCTACTCAAAAGAAGACCTTGACCCTTCCTCAAAGATTGATGAATGAATGTACATTTGCATGTTTTATGTTGAATTTTAAATATTTAAAATGTCTTATCCTTTTTATGATTTCCAGCGTTAGTCACCTTTTTCAAACAAGTGATCAATTATTTGCTCTAAAGTCAGAGAGAAGGTTCCCACTAGAGTTTATAGCTGACCTGTCTCTCGGGACACTTAAAATGTCCATATAATCAAGTTTTCCAAGACCTATACAAATTGAGGTCTGGTAGACGTCAGAGATGCCAGGAACTATAGGAATTAGTAAGACTCACCAGTTACTGTTTATTTAGATTATCTATAACTAGAGGCCCGATGCACAAAGATTCATTCAAGAATAGGCCTTCTTTCCCTTGGCTGCCAGCACTGACTTCGCTCTGGTCATAGCTGCCTTTCTGCCTTCCTACACTGGTGGGGCGGTATGGAATGCCTACATCATCGAAATGGTGATGATGCAAGCATCCCGCCCCATCCCTGGCTGCTCAGTGCCTGTATATGCAAATTAACTGCCATCTTTGTTGAGTTAATTTGCATACTCACTCCTGATTGACTGACGGATGTCATAAAGGTACAGTCAATTTGCATCTTACTCTTTTATTAGTGTAGATAATAAAAGGGTAATATGCTAATTAGACCAACATCTGGAAGGATGCCATTCCAAATGTCCTTACTGATGAATCCAGGCCGGAGGGAAGCAGCTGAGTCCCGGGTGCCTGCTGGTGGCAGGAGGAGGAAAGCCCAGTCCTGGGTTCAGAGGAAAGCCAGTGCCAGCAGCCAGGGAGAAGAAAGGCCTATGCTTGCAGCAATTTTTGTGCATTGGGCCTCTAGTACTGATATAAACCAATGAAACAACTGGGTATGTAGAGGATTTAGCAGAAGCCAGAGAACTATGCAGAAAATATACAAGAAATCCATAAATAAAAGGGTTAGATATAATGTTAAGGTAAAAGTATGTATTTATTGGCAGATAAGTTTTATGAAGCTCCATATTCAAAATAATGTTCTTTGAAAAAGCAGAGAAGAACTTTCCAAAAAGGGAGTTAGTCAATGAGAGAGAAAGGAGACTCAGGGAGGGAAAGGGCAAAGGAACTTGGTAACAGAAAAACAAAAAACAGCAGGTGAGGAACAAGGCTCACAAAAAGAGTCATGTAAAGTTTTAAGAACTAGTTGTCTGTGAACTAATCTGGTTCACCAAATGGTTCTGATGGAGAACGATCCCACTGTTCCAACTCTAAAAAAACACGAGCAAGCTTCCGGATCCCAGACATATCTAATTGAAGCTATGTGAACTGAACGAAGCATTTCTTGACATTACTAAAACATTCTAGCAAGAAAAAATATTTGGAGTTAAGAGGCGCACCATTTCAGAAGACTCATCAAAGAATGAGAAATAGACATCTCTTAAGGGTTTGCATTATAGCTTACTATTTGATTACTTTACTTTATATAGTACTTTGCCATTGATGAAGGGCTACTATATATTTTTATTTAAAAAATTACCAAAACCCTATGAGGTAAATATAACCTTCCTGTTTCAGTGGTGAGAAAATCAGAACTCATAGATGTTATATGACAAACCCAAACTCACACAACTGGAAAGTTGGTAACAGACCAGAGTCCCCCAGTCATTTCAATTTACAGTCTTACACAGAGTTTGGAAAAAGTAAACATTTCATGAATACCAACAATCATTTTATGTATTCTCCTCTCCCCTCCTCTGTAGACTGTGATCACTGGAATATCTTATTTTTTCACTTCGCATTGTATCACATGCATTTATCATGGCTACCTGATATTCAAATAATTCATTTAACGACTACACCAACATTATGACATGCGAATCATTTCAGTCAAAAATATAATGGGTGAGGTGTTACTCCATAAAACCAAAGACCAATAAGAAGAAGATAGTTACTTAATCCATCCCATTATTGGCCAGCCAGGTTTTCGGTGTATTGTTTTGTGTTAGTCTTTGCTGTGAAGACACAAAGCCTTTCTCTACAGCTCATGTGCTGCAGTCCCTGAATGGAGAGCAGCCCCTCCCTCCAGAAACACTGTTCCCCTTCACAATGTCTGCTCATTTAAACCTGCACTCCCCACTTCCTTAAGCAATCCCCGAAAAGTAACATGTGTGTGGATGAAAACCTGTGCTTGGATATTTCCCTCATTACTTGCAAAGACAATTATTTTACCCAGAACACGTGCACCCCATGATGGAACAGGGAAAGCTTGCTTAGAAATGTGGATAAAACCAACTGAGATTGAGCAAGAAAGCAAAAGGGTTTCTGCGTCATTTTAGCTGGCTCTCAAAGGACCACTCAGTCCTTTGCTTTTCTTAAAACACAGCCCCACTATGGAGACATGGCACAAACTACAAGGGCGATCTGGAAGTTGATGAATCTATCTGGAAAAGCATCATTTCTCCTTTGCAATGACTGCCATTGATGGCAGCCCAGATGAAATTCTAAATGAATGCAAACACAGCCGCTCCCATAGGCCAAATTCTGGGAAAGCACCTCAAGAATTCCAAGAGGGAATCTTTGTAGGTCCTGAGGGGCTTATAATTTGCTCCTAATTTAGAAAAATGTCAGGATACACGTCTCCGAGGACCAGGAGAGAAGGGTTATGCCAGTGGTGGGCAAACTCATTAGTCAACAGAGCCTAATGCCAATGATTGAAATTTCTTTTGGGAGCCCGATTTTTTAAACTTAAACTATATAGGTAGGTATACTGTTATTAACACTGAATTAGGATACTCCTAAGCTGGCCTTTGCTAAAAACTCAAGGGGACAAAGAGCCACAGTTAGCCGACCACTGGGTTATGCAACACAGTGAGATGATGCATGTGAGACCCCACATGCTCTCTTGGAGTTTAAGCAATTCCCAATAAATGTTCTCATCGTGTTGGATCCCGCACCCTAACTCATCACTTCTAGCTAGGAAAGCACTGGAGGGACCACCTAGTCCTCACCCCCTCTCCTAAATCCACTGACAAGGAGACTGGGTAAGAGCACAGAAGCTTCCAGGGACAGCGTGTGCCAAAACACGTGGTTACTACTTACCTCACAGCAGAGTGTTTGGCCCAAACCTATGCATGTACCGACCCCGGAGAGGAGCCCTGCACCCCTCCGCAGGGGCCCCGTGACTTACCCCCGGGGGCCCGGGAGCGGCACTGCCCGGTCATGGGGCTGTACTCCTGGTTCTCGTCCGCGCACACACACAGGAAGGAGCCTTCCACGTTTTCACAGAAGGCTTCGCCACACACGCCACTGAGCAGCTCACACTCGTTCACATCTGGAAAAGGGAGCACAGACCAAGTCAGATGGGGGCCTCACCCCCTGGCCAGACCAGCTGTGTAAGGTGAGTGGGCACTGGCTCAAAATCGGGACCCCCAGCGAGCAGTCAAGCCCTGCTGCCCTCAAGATAGGGCTGTGCCATTGGTTTGTATGAATGAGCCATGAACATGCACAGTGGTTTACATATTCCAACTCTGGCTTTAAGGAACATCCCAGAACTGTACTGCACGCATCCGGGGCACCTCTGACGCTTTAGTTTTCTCCTCCCTAACTTACTGACTTAAGGAGGTCTTCCAAACCCACACTCTTCCTCTCAGTCCCTACTTCAAGGAAAATCACCATCCCTGGCACTCTGAAAACCACACACTCCTTTAAATTCAGTTTTTAGCCAAAACCAGTTTGGCTCAGTGAATAGAGTCGGCTTGCGGATTGAAGGGTCCCAGGTTCAATTCCGGTCAAGGGCATGTACCTTGGTTGTGAGCATATCCCCAGGAGGGGGTGTGCAGGAGGCAGCTGATCGATGTTTCTCTCTCATCGATGTTTCTAGCTCTCTATCCCTCTCCGTAAAATATATATATATTTTTTATTTTTTTAATAAATAAATTCATTTTTTAAAAAATGGTTTTAAATCCACGTACATGTCTGAAAATCATTTCTTAGCAGCCAAGACATCCATTCTTTAACAACCAGCAGTCAGGTTGTGTAAAGACCCCATAAGTATTCACTGGGTCCCATGAATCACTCCCATACAACACACTGGTTCCATCACTCCTCTCTGGTTTCACCCTGCCTTGGAAAATCCTGTTGGTGTCCACAGCCCAGGAATCTACTGGTGAGTATGTGTGATTCAACATTATGCAAGTGCACAGCCCAAAAGAAGCCTGAGGCGGTGTTGGACCTGGCCCAATCCTACCTCTCACCTTTACTCCTCCTAAGGAATGTTGTGAATGAAGGCCCCTGGCTGACCCCGGACATGCTCATGCGCTGTACACCTTCCACCTGTGCAGCATCAGCTCTTAGGAGGCCGCGTACACAAAGTTAAACATTTGAGCAATTAGCCAAATCCCTCAGAAAACCGATCCTCTTTCACCTGCTATGTTCAGTTAGTTGAACACAAAGTTTATGTATCTTGACTTATTTGAATAATGACTCAGTTTTCCATCTCACTGGGTATATAAACAGGTAAAAACCCCAATGAGCTGGGTTTTGGTAGTTAAAAGATATTACAACATAAAGTAAAGCAATGAGTTAGCATGTTTAATCAACCTAGACAGTCATAATTTAGACCAGAAAAACTGACTTCAGAAATCTGCCAATTCACATTGATCCATTTTAGGTAAATTTCCAATGGAACTTTAGACTTTCCAACTGGTATTATGTACAAGGCTACTGAAATCTCCTCATCAGGTTGCATTCATTCGACCCCAAAATATTTCCTAGTTGACTTCTAGGGGCCCAGGCATTGGGAGGGGAGGGAAGGGTGGAAATCATGAGTCAGGCGACCCAACTCCTGACTTCACGAAGCTTATGGTCAAGTCAGGGAAGTTAATCAGAGAAGCATGCAGGCCCTGGTACGTACCAAGCACAAACAGTACAGAGCGCTAGGAAAGCACAAGACAGTGCGCCTTTGGTGCAGGGGTGGGCCAGGGAAGTGGTGGGAAGAGAGTCTATCTGAAGGATGAGAGGTGATGATAAGAAGGGGTGGAGGTGGAGGGAGGCAGTCAGGGTCCGAGTAGAAGAAATAGCATGGCCAAAGGTTGGTATCAAGGCTGATTCATCCCTTAAGTCCTACAGAACACCAGCAGGGTGAGTTGCACAGATAGGTGCTCCGTTAATATTTTTGAAGGAATGCATACACAGACAGTAAGACATCTATTAAGTTCCCAAAAATGATGAAAGCGATTTCTTTACGACGGGAATTCATCTGGCTGCCTAGAAATGGACACTCACCTGGGGTTTGAGGGCTGTGTGAAGTGAGTGGCTTGAGACCTCACTAAGGGACAGTTAAACAATACTTACTGAGCACCCATGACAGGCCAAACCTGAGGTCCAGTCGGGGGAGAGAGAAAATTCTCAAACTCGGCACTCACTTTCTTAGAGAAGGCTTTTCCACACGGAGATAAGGAAACGTGTTGGAGGGGAAATAAGCTAGACACTCACCCACACACCCTTGCCCATCCTGCGGGGCCTGAAAGCCCTGGTAACAGAGGCAGCGGAAGGAGCCGGCCGTGTTGTCACAGAACCCGTGCCTGTCACACACAGTGTTGTTTACACACTCATCAATATCTGCAAAAAAGACACAAAACACAGACTGACAGACACCGGGCAGGGATGGGAGACACAGGTGCTTCCATGCACGCCCCAGTTAGTAGGAGATGATCATGGTCACACAGAATGAACTTTAAAAAACATTTTACACAACAATAAAATGTTTTGATGGAAATGTCTGACTAGACAAAACACTGGGTTCTGGGAGAAAACATTTACTTTTTCTCAGGAAATGTTTTCAAATGGAAACGACGGCTGTGATGGTCTCGCTCAGTTATTTTCTCAATGCTTTTTAAATTATTTTGAAGAATACACTCTCTCTCTCTCCACAGGGGACATATGCAGAGGTACTGCCACCTGTTTTGATTGTGATAAATACTAAATCATTCTATTTGCAGAGTTGGGGGCTGAAAGAAGCAGTGGTTTGCCGAAACTGGTTTGTCTCAGCGGTAGAGCGTCGGCTTGTGGACTGAAAAGTACCAGGTTCGACTCCGGTCAAGGGCATATACATTGGTTGCGGGCACATCCCAGGTAGAGGGTGTCCAAGAGGCAGCTAATTGATGTTTCTCTCTCATCAACGTTTCTAGCTCTCTATCTCTCTCCCTTCCTCTCTGTAAAAAAAGAAAATCAATAATATAAATATATATTGGGTCTAGTAATACTTAATGTCGTTTTTAAACATTCGTTTAAAATCTTGCTTGGCGTTGACTTGTATTGACATAACCTTCAAACACGTGGTATCTACAGAACGTGTGAATGCAATTAACAAGTTTTGCTTGAAAAAGTTTGTGTTTGGTTTGGTTTTTGTTGCAAAACTAGGGCTAAGAAGATGGCGGATGAAGAGCATATTCGGCACTGCATGCTTTACGAGTTCCAATTAGGAAGAAAAGCAAGTGAGGCTGCAAAAAACATCTGTAGTGCTCTTGGTCGAGATGCAGTTAGCGCCAGAAAATGCCAGCGTTGGTTTGAGAAATTTCGCGAGGAAAATTTTTCGTTAGATGACAAGAGTGGTCGAGGCTGTGTGTCCAATTTTGATCAAGAAGCTCTTCAAGCTCTTTTGGTGCAAAATCCTCAAATTACCCAACAAGAGCTTGTGACAACTTTAAATTGTTCACAAAAAACAATTTCCAATCAATTGCGTGCACTTGGCAAAGTCCAAAAGTTTGGAAAATGGGTTCCTCATGAGTTGACCGACAACAACCGTAATCAGAGTCACAATTTGCAGTTCGCTCCTCTCTCGTCAAAACCGTTTGCCGTTTTTAGAGCAAATTGTTACCGGAGATGAAAAATGGGTGCTGTATGTTAATTTGAAAAGGCGGTCTCAATGGTTGGACAAAAATGAGGCTCCGCAGCCCACGCCAAAACCTGACTTGCATGCGAAAAAAGTGATGTTGTGTGTTTGGTGGAATTTTAAAGGAATTCTTCATTATGAACTTTTACCATCTAACCAAACCATTACAAGTGCAGTGCATAGTGCCCAATTGGAAAGGTTAGCCCAAGCTTTAAGAGAAAAAGAACCCGTACTGATTAATCGGAAGGGCGTAATTCTTCACCATGATAACGCACGACCGCATACTGCAAGAATCACTGCTGAAAAACTGCGCCAGTTGGAATGGGAAGTTCTCCCTCAACCTGCATATTCTCCTGATATTGCCCCTTCCGATTACCATTTGTTTCGTTCTTTGCAAAACGTTCTTCTTGGAAAAAAATTTAATAATGAAGAATGCCTCAAAAATGCATTGACCGAATTTTTTGCATCAAAATCACAAGAATTTTACAACAGAGGAATTAAAATGCTTCCTGAGCATTGGGCACAAGTAGTAGAAAACAACGGCAACTATATTGTTGATTAAGTTTTGTTGTATTGTTTAAATAAATTCAATTTAAAAAAAGTATTAGCAAACGACATTAATTATTACTAGACCTAAAATATATATATATAACATTGATAAAAAAAAAAAAAAAAAAAAAAAAAGCAGTGGTGTGCCTGGGCAATGGTTACTCAACTCCATGGATGACCTTGATCCATTCTAACCATATTCCCAAGAAGGGAGAGAGAAGAAAGAGGGGGAGAAGGAGGAGAAGGAGAAAGCAGAGGGGAAGAAGAGAGGAGAGAGGGGAAGTGAAGAGGAAGAGGGAAGAAGAGCAGAAAAGAGGGAGTTGGAAGGAACAGAGAATCTGATGAGTTCAGTGGTGTAGCCAGCCAGACCCAGTTATTCACAAGGAGAGATTTCCTGTCACCAAGTCATAGCCACTCAAGGTCCTCAATGTCAATGCTGCTCTACCTGGCCAGCCAGAGGCCAGACTTGTAAGTCCTTTTTGTTCAGTATCAACTTTGTGACAGACAGTGGTCCTGGGCCTCCCCCGCACCCCCCATTAATAAAAATGTTCTCATAAAAGTGATGTCTGGATGACAAAGTCACAAAAGGACTTTCAGATATAGTTCTTCTTTATCTTCCTCTCAAGTTTCGCTGCCATTTTTTTCATTTCTGTCCTGTTTACTGTGCACTTCTTTCTGTCCTGTCCAACTCTGGACCTCACAGTCCCAAAATACAGCTTTTGGGAGAAATAATTAAGAAAGTGCAAGGACTGTATCCAAATCTGGTAGAAAGTGCTTTTATGTTCAAATAATGAAATGAAAAAACAAATGATTAAAAAATAAAGGATGGGTTAAATTGCACTTGACAGAATTTGTTTTTTGAGAGTTAATGTTAATAAAATCGAGCTTTTTTTATTTTAATTTTTTAAGCTGAGTCCCAGAAATTTTCTAAGGAAAAATTCAGTACTTTTCAGCATCTGTCTCACTTCCCTTCCTGATGTTCCAACACTGGCACCATCAAGTTCAGAGACTGTCTCACTTTTTGAATTGCAAAATATGAGTGACTGTATCAAGTGTTTTCTCAATTTTCCCAACTCAAAGAAGACATTCAAGGCTAGGGCCTTCCTCCAGGCCCACCCTTTCCCCAGGAGTCAAACCTGCTCAGCATCTCCCACTATACACCCCCCAGCGCCCCCATTCCCTTCCCTCGGTTAGTATGGAGAAGCTGGCCATGATGTCACCCACTGTGCTTTTCCATTCTTTCTACCACTGTAATATGTCTACAAAAATAAACCCCACAAAACTATCTGTAATCACCGCCTTTATTTCCTAATAGAGCTTATCAGTTAATAAAATAATAGCAATGATACTAATAACAATAATATAGGTGTGTTTCTAGAATCACTGTGATGATTCAAGGTAACACACATAAAATGTTACTTTTAGAACATTGCCTGGCATGTAGCATAGGAAGCATCTAATATGTGTCAGTTATTATTATTATTATTATTATTACTACTCCTCTTAGTCCTTAATGACCCACTTCCTGACTCTCTCTCTCTCAAAACCCTCAGCAAAACACCCGACAGACCCATCTTTAAATTCCATGATCATTTGACAACCAGTTACCATCACCTTTGACCTCCATGTCTGGTCAAGACCCCCTCCTTTACTCTCTCTTTTCATAACCGGACAGACCATTTTTCTCATTCTCCCTGTAACCACTATGGCTGGCCCTCACCTGGCACAGCCTGAATGAAGATGGCCACTCTCCACCCTCTCTGCACCCTCCCACCTGCAAATACCAAGGTCCTCAGAATGAATCCCAACTCCTTGTCTCCAGCCAGGATCCTTCATATTCAAAGTCATCCATTTACCCATTTGATCTTCTGTTGTAATGTCAAACTTATCAAGTCTGAAACCTACTAAACTACACTGTCTTCCTCCTAAACTGTACTTCTTGACCTTAGTGAGAAATCTTGCATCTCTTAGCCTTCCCCCCTTTTTTATTTTGCCTTTATCAAACACAAAGAAGACACTCCATAAAGTTGTTCTGATAGATTTTCAATGCCAGCATGAGGCTGGAATTACAGCTATTTACGGATCACAACCATGAAAGGAGTAACTGCACGCGACATCAAATCACAACACAGGCCACTGCTAATTTTAGACTTCCTGAGATGGACTTTTGTCAGAAGATCACACTACACGTTGAACTATAGGACATAAGGGCTGGAAAGAAAACTCAGAAATGCATCCATTACCACTTTTATACTGATTTCCCAGCCTTCCTCCAGGGTCAACTTCCATCCGTTAGAGTCATTTATCTAATAACTATTGGACTTGCCCATAGTAAATGAACTTATTGCCACTCGGGCCTCCCATCTCCTCCATTTCTCCTATATTCCCTTCAGCAGAGAATCCAACCAGTCCCCTAACCAGAAACCTTAGTCACCCTTCTCTTGCTCTTCCTCCCCCATCCCTCCCATCACACCCTTTTATCTAACTGTCCTGATGCTCATACTTCTAATAGTGTTTTTTTTTAATCTCCAGTCTTGCCTCCCTCTCTCTAATCCATTCTCTACCAAACTGCAGCCCTGTCGGTGACATTCTCTTGCTCAGAGTATTCAGTGTCTCCTCTTGGCTGGAGGATACCAAGCATGCTCTTCTGCAGAGCTCAGCGCGCCCTTTATCACCCGGCTCCTGGCTGCCAGCCTGGCCACCGTTCTCAGCCAGCCTCCTTCCCAATACACGTTCCATCCCTGCCAGCACTCCATCCCCATGGTCTTCAATTTCTCGCTGACTTGGTGGGCGCACACACCTTCCTCCACCAGAAACTCCCCCGCTACCTGCTTTGCTCAAAGCTTCTCCTGGCTTTTCAGGAGTTGATCCAAGGGCCACTTCTTAGGTGGCACCTTCCATAGCCCCTCCTTTCTGCTCCCAGAGCATGCTGTGCCATGCTCTGCTTATCAGGGCTACTTTTCAGGGTAGGGAACCTCACCAGCAGCTTATTCCCCTCCAAAAATGAGGTGGCAGATGGCAAAAAAGCAGTGCTAGAAACCTGGTGGCTTTTCAGACAGATTCTTTAAATAAAAGCTCTTGCTTTCCTTTTTATTAATTCCATGCTGTATTAGCAGACGGTGCTTTCTTGTTGCTGATCGCCAGCTCAGGAACTGAGTGACCGACCTTAAGGTGAAGA